CTGCGTGTGTCACCCTTGCACATGACAAGCTGCACCTTAGCTCTGTGCACAGGTGCAAAGGTCCCTTTAAGAAACAAGCTCTGCCGGGTGTTGGTGGTGCATGCCTTTAATGCCAGCACTCAGGAGGCAGAGGCAGGCGGATCTCTGTGAGTTCAAGGCCAGTCTGGTCTTCAAAGAGAGTTTCAGGACAGCCTCCAAAGCTACAGAGAAACCCTGTCTTGAAGAAAAAAAAAAAAAACAAGAGGGAGGGAGAGAGAGAGAGAAGCTCTACCTACTCCCACTCTCTTCCTCTCTGAAGAGGCAGGCCTCTCTCTCTTTCTCTTACTCCTCTCCCTCTGTCTCTCTGCCTTCCCTTCCCCCAGTAAAACTTCCCAGGTAAGTTTTGTCTGCATGGCATGTTTGTCCCTCAGCTGCTGTGTTTTGGACTCATAGGCTAAGGTTCAATCTCAAGCCATATCATAGCAGGGCAAAACACAAAATGTTTCCTCTGTGGTTAAGAGCACTGTCTTCCAGAGGTCCTGAGTTCAATTCCCAGCAACCACATGGTGGCTCACGACCATCTGTAATGAGATCTGGTGCCCTCTTCTGGCTTGCAGGGAAACATGCAGACAGAAAACTGTATACATATTTATTATGTATACAAATCTTTAAAATCTTTAAAAAAGAGTTTCCTCTGCATGTACAGCTTATTCTTGCTTATTCTTTTCAAATAAAAACAAACAGACAAAACAAGATTGCCCATGCCCCCAGACAAAGGGGAGGTCATGGTGGACGCCCAGAAACCCATGGCGGTCTTGTAGATGGCACCAGTCATTTTGTGTGGGGCTCTTCAGGTTTGGCTGGTTTGGGTCTCTCTCTCTCTCTCTCTCTCTCTCTCTCTCTCTCTCTCTCTCTGTGTGTGTGTGTGTGTGTGTGTGTGTGTGTGTGTGTGTGTGTGTGGTTGTGTGTGTGTGTGTGTTGAACCCATGGCATTGTGTTCACCCTGCAGGCGTTCTACTACTAAACTATGTCCCAAACTCTGTGTAATTTTTAAATTTTGTGGCAGGGTCTCACTAAGTTGTCTTTGAACTCATTCGATGGCTGAGGCATTGTTTGAATTCAGCTTTTCCTGCCTCACAGGCTTCCCCACCACACCTGACTTCTCTGTCCCTCATAATAGGATTTGCAGAAAAATAAGAGTGTGCTGGCACCAGGTAGTGTGACATCTGCCACTGTGAATGCCAAAAAGGAGTGTTTGCATTGATTATTAATGTCTGCCACTGTGAAAGCCATAGTGAACACTTGTATTGATTAGTGATGGCTGCTGGAAGCTTAGACTAGAAGGTAGGGGCTCTGTAATTCTGCCTGTTTCCTAATTGGCAGAGTGTGTCATCTTTCTTCTGCCCCCAGCGGGAGATCAGAACTCTCTGGCAAGTTCAGGGCCTGATCATGTCCACTGTGATGGGGGAGACACAGAAGGATTTCACAATTCGGAATTTCACAATTCCTATAGTGACTCACTAGTGACTCACTGCATGACTCCCTGGGTGCGTGGGTATCCCACAGAGTTTTCCCACAGGACTCTCAGCCCAGCTCTGCTGTTCCTCCCAGCTCCTCCCTTGTCTACACTCCCAGCCTTCCCTTCTTGCCATCCCCATCTTTTTCTCAAGTCTCTCCCTCCCTCTCTCTCTCTCTCTCTCTCTCTCTCTCCATCATGAGAATTTTTTTCTCTATGAGTGTGTGTCTGTGTGTGTATGGGTTTGTGCACTTGAAGGCCAGAAGTGGCCGTCAGAGCCTCCTGAAATTGGAGTTCCAGGGGTCTGTGAGCCACCTAATGTGGGTGCTGGGAACTGAACTCATGACCTTTGGAAGAGCAAGGAGTGATCTTAAAGGCTGGGTTGGCCCTCCCACCTTTTTTTTTTTTTTTTTTTTTTTGAGTCAGATTCTCAGGTACCCCCAAACCAGCCTTAAACTTGCTGTGGAGACAAGAGTGACCTTGAACTCCTGATCCTCCCGCCTTCACCTCCCAAGTGCTAGGATTGCAGGCATGAGTCACTACCTCTGTGTCAGGACGGAAAGGAGGGCTTCCTGTAATCTAAGCCTCTGCATGGAACTATCTTTAGCTCCCTATTTCTAGGAAGATGACTTGGGTGGAATTGTGTTTCGTTAAGGTAAACACAGAGTCACTGGAAAGGTTTGCTATAAGCCTTTTCCCCATAGATGGAGTTTCTGGAGAGAGCCTGAGAATTTCACAGGTGTCCTCGTGCCCCTCAAACTTGCCCTGCCTTTCCATCCTGCCTCAGGAAAGACTGGAATAGGGAAGCCCAGTGGCTGTCCAGACCCAGCCAGGCGTCTTGGAGGGTTTCCCAGAGGAAGAGCTGTGACCACTATCTAACCAGCATCTACCGAGCAAGAACAGAAGGGGAGATTCCCAGGAAGCCTCGGGGATGGGGAGCACCAGGGACGTGGGGTGGGTGGGGCCACCACCCTTCGTCACTCAGTCACTCAGTCTGTAGGGAGGAAACGACTGGACAGCTGGTGGCCTGAAGGCCCTGGTTAGTCACCAAGGGCGTAGTCCTTCAAGCGTGTGTTTCATATCCTCTCTGGGCTTTCAGAAGAAAGAAAGCAGGGGAGAAAGGACACTGTCACTGGGAAGGAATGTGGAGAGAGTGAGCGGGCTCCTCGGAGCCGGACGCCTTCCTGGAGGATGGGCAGGGGAGCTGTTCTGGAACTTTCCTCCTCGGCTGCAGAAAAGAAGACAAAAGGTGTGTCCTGTGCCTGCCACCCGGTTCTCCACCCTTCCATCCTCCCGACGGTGCCAAGGAGAGGGTCGGGATTGTCACAGCTGTGTCCACACAGGAAAAAATGAGAAAGTTGGCAGCAAGAAGGTTTCTTGCCCTGAGTGGGCCTCTCCTTCTTGCCTTCCTCTCATTGTTTCATTCTGGGACTGGTTCATCGAGCAGGATGGCTTGAACCCCTCATCTTCCTGCCTCCACTTCCCAAGTGCTGGGTCTCCTCCAGAGCTTTGCAAGCCTCGGCAACCCAGCCCCAGCCCCAGCCTCCCTGGATCTCTATAGGGCCTACAGAAGCAGACCCTAACGCCGAGTGTCTAGCAAGGGGACACCGGGTGAGTGACAGTGGGAGAGGACCTGGGCTTTACCCTACCACCCAGCTGAGCCTGAGGAGTCCCTTCAGACTTCCACTAAAGAGAAGACAGGAAGGTTTGGGTTTTTTTTTTTTTCTTTTCACGTGCTTTTTGGTTTTGGTTTTTGGTTTTTGAGACAGGTGTCATGTAGTCCGGGCTAGCCTTGAACTCCCTTGGTAGCCTGGGCCACCACCACACCCAAATAATAAAGCTGGATTTTTAAAAAATTTTATTTTTGTTTGTTTTTGTTGGTGTTGTTTTGTTTTGTTTTCTAAGACAGGGTTTCTCTGTGTAGCTGTCCTGGAACTTGCTCTGTAGACCAGGCTGGCCTCAAACTCAGAGCTCGACCTGCCTCTGCCTCTGGAGCACTGAGATTAAAAGCATGTGCCCCCAACGCCTGGTGGACTGTGTGTGTGCGATATCTTCATGTGTGTGGACATGTGCATGCACACACATGTATCATTGACACTATGAATCTTCCTTTCCCCCTCTCCTCTTTCTTGTGTGAAGCAAGGTCTCTCACTTGAACTCTGAACTCAGCAGCCCCTGTAGATTCTGTAGCCAGCTTGCTCTGGGGAGCTGCCTTCTGCGTACTGGGATTACAGACCCGCTCCCACAGGTAGGTTCTGGGGCTCCAAACTCCAGTCCCTGAGCCATCTTGTTGGCTCTAGAAAAGACTCTCTTTTTTTGCTTTTTCAAGACAGGGTTTCTCTGTGTAGCTTTGGAGGCTGTCCTGGCACTCGCTCTGGAGACCAGGCTGGCCTCGAACTCACAGAGATCCCCCTGCCTCTGCCTCCCGAGTGCTGGGATTAAAGGCATTTATTTAATTTTTATATGCATTGGTATTTGGCCTGCTTGTATGCCTGTGTGAGGGAGTTGGAGCCATTGGAACTAGAGTTACAGTTGTGAGCTGCCATGTGGGTGCTGGGAATTCCACTCGGATTCTTCGGCAGAACAGCCAGTGCTCCTAATCACTAAGCGGTCTCTCCAGCCCTAATGCACACCTTTTTATTGTTGCTTTCTTTTCTTTTCTTTTCTTTTCTTTTCTTTTCTTTTCTTTTGTGTTTTCTTGGTGTTTTTTTGTTTTGTTTTGTTTTGTTTTGTTTTTCAAGACAGGGTTTCTCTGTGTAGCTTTGGAGCCTATCCTGGCACTCACTCTGCAGACCAGGCTGGCCTCAAACTCACAGAGATCCACCTGCCTCTGCCTCCTGAGTGCTGGGATTAAGGCGTGCAATGCCACCAACGTCCGGCTCAGAAAAGACTTTTATAACAGCTTTAATATGGGCATTAAAGAGAGACAGAGTCACGCAGGAAAAAGATAGTACATGCCCAATGTAAAGGAGCAGGCTCAGGAGAAAGAGTTGAGGGCCTCAACAGTTATTTATACAACTTCTAAACACTTTTTTAAAAAAAGATTTTATTTAGGGGCTGGAGAGATGGCTCAGAGGTTAAGAACACTGACTTCTCTTTCCAGAGGTCCTGAGTTCAATTCCCAGCAACCACATAGTGGCTCACAGCCATCTGTAATGAGATCCGGTGCCTTCTTCTGGCATGCAGGGATACATGCAGACAGAATACTGTATACATAAAAAATAATATTTTTTAAAAAATTTGCCGGGGGGGGGGGGCAAGGGTTGGGGGCGGGCACCTTTAAC